AAAGAAAGAAAGAAAGAAAGAAAGAAAAGCGGAGATTGAGTGTCTCCTTAGCCTGTTTGGCAGTTTGGTGGGAGGGGAGACACTGGCCTGTCTCCTCAGCCACATTTGGGCTGTCCCTGCCTGTGGCACAGCCCCACCCTCAAGCCCTCTGCAGTATTGTTTGGTCTAGCAGGTGCAAACAAGAGGGCAGAGGCATGAAGAGGGTGGGGTTTGGAGGACCCCCCACTTCACATCTTCCTCTCCGGTTAAGGAGGGTCCAAAGGCCATGCTGCTTTGAAGTTCTTCAGACTGGAGGACTCGGGGCTCTCCTTCCAAGTTTTGAGAGTACGGATCTCTGAGGAGAAACCCTTGCTGGGATCCAGGGCCCCCTGCTCCCGCATCATGGGGTCAGGCTTTACCTCTAGCCCCACAGGCCCAGGGGACAGGTGCTGAAGTCTGTTATCAGCATCCCGGCCCAGCCCGGCCAGCAGGGGAAGCCCGGGAAAATGCCAGGCCCCTGGGGGGCAGCCAGGGCCTGAGAGCAGTGTGTCTGGTTTGGCTCCTGGCAGCTGCTGCTCTGAGGCCAGAGAGGGCAAGAAGGGTCCTGAAAGGCGGGTCCAGTCAGAGGGGAAAGGGGACAGGAGGGGAGGGGCAAGGGAGGCAAAACTGGGCAGCTCGCCTTGGACGCTCCCCAAATGGCAGCAAAAGCCCAGCTGGCAAGGGCCAGAGGCAGAGCCAAGTCCTGGAGGAAGAGAAGGAGAGGAAGGGTCACAAGTGTACCCGAGCTCTGAGAGGCCCTGCTCCTCCTGCCTTTTATGTGAAGGTCTCTCTCCTGTCCCTGTACTGCCCTTCTTTTGTGCCTTTCTTCAGTTCTCATCATAAATATCCTTTCTTTGGGAAAGCCCCCCGAGATGCCCCAGCCTGGTTGACAGCTGCTCTCCCCATGCTCTGTCCTCCATCCAGGGCCTGCAGCTCAGTGAGGATCTCATAGTCATCAGTGTGTTTATTTATGTAACAGCCTGTGGGGCAGGAGCTGCTTCTCTTTTATTCTGCCCCCACCCAAGCCTGGCACATAGTAGGTACTCAACAAAACGCATTCTATAGACAAAGAGAGGATACTGTTTGCCACAACACAACGATCCGTTCTTCACTCTCGGCCCCTGCAGTAAAGGCCTCTAGTTCTAGCTGGGCCTTGGACTTGTTTTTTACACTTGGAGGCCTGTTTCTTCATCCATGGAATCCCTCCCCTAGGGTAGATAGGTGAGTGGTGGGTGAGAGGGGACTCCGGAGCTCATGACCAGGTGGAGGTAGGGACCCTAGCCTTCTTCTCTGACTCTGCCCACAACTCTCCTCCTCCAGGAAGGCTTCCCTGCTCCCATTCCTTCCAGACTTTCCCTCTCTCCTCCCCCCTGCAGTAGGGCCCCCAGCCTGAGGTCCTTGGAGACGATTCACACACTTTCTGTATTTCCAAAAGCCTAATTGCAGTTCCACATTTTTCTTAGCAAGACTGCATCATTTAACTAAGAGAGCAAGTGTTGACCTGGTGTGGTCACACACTGGGGGAGCTATAGCAAATGAAAACTGGGCAACAGATGAGCTGTGCTTAGCACATCTGGTGTCTTTGACAGGGAGAGCCTTTCTGAAGTCAGATTCTGAAGTCTCTCTCTTTCTCTATGAAGAGAAAGAAGGATACAATGATCACCCACCCCTCACCGAGAGACAGGCTGGAGACTGCCAGAGTGTCCTCCTCTCTCCGAGTCACTATCCTTTTTCTTGGGCCCTTAGATGAGATGGAGACTACTGTTTCATGGGATGCTTGTGTCCCCAGGGCCTCCTGAGGGCGAGATTGTCCCTCTTGCACCTCAGAAGGAATGTAGAAGATAGTTCTAAGAGCACCCCTTTTCCCTGCCCTCCCCCCACATGACCCTGCCCTGCTGCCTCCTGTCCTAGCTTGCTGTCTCAGAACTCCTGGAAGCAGCTTCCTTCCTTGGCACCAAATGCCCAGAGTGGGATGGAGGTGGGGGCTGGCACACTGTTTTGAATTCCAACCCAAGAGCTGGGCATGTGGTTGCTGCTAGCCTGCAGGTGATCTGAACTTGGTCAGCGTCCCTTGGGGCCCAGGCACAGGCAGAGTGTGCATGTGTGCCCACTGAAGACGGAAGCTGCAAAATAGCCACTCTGAGCTGAGGCTTGGGAGGGACACATTTTCTTCCACCTCAGAGTTTCCCAAAAAGAGAAGCTCTGTGCCCAGGGCACTCCCAGGGCTGGGAGGAGGAGGTGGGGTGGGGGAGGGTAGGAACAGAGAATCTCTTCAGGTACTGTCTAGCTCCAGGCAGTGGCCCAGCCAGTCCCAGCGGGCCTGAGCTGTCCCACACCCATGGCCTGGGCCAGACTTGCTGGGGTGCAGAGTCTGGGCCCCTCGCTGCCCCACAGGTGGGGTGAAGGCCGTGAGTCCTTATCCCAGGAACTTGCCTGCAGTAGAGGGTGGTTCTTGGGTCTCTGTGATCATCACAGAAAATCTTATGTCTCTCCCCACCTTCCAGCCTCTGTGAGACATCTGCCTCCGTTTCTGCCCTTTCCTCCACCTGATTGCCACATGCCCCCACACCAGCCTTCTCCAGTCCCTATCTCCTGCCCCAGGGCCTTTGCACGTACTGTTCACTTGGCTTGCTTTCTCTCTCCCTCTGAGCTAAGAGGACACTGATGTACACTTAGGGTCTCAGCTCCAGTGTAATTTTGTCAAGAAAGTCTTGACAAAAGTCTTGAGGGTCCTGTACCCTGAACTTCTCCATAGCCATCAGTGCAGTCATAATCACCTGTCACTTGCTGGAAGCCTGCACCCTTCCTGCCTACAAATCCTGTCAAGGCAGTCTTGCTCATATTGACCCTTCTGCCTCTGGGACAGTGCCTGACACATTGAGAAGGGGTCATTAACCACCTGATGAAGGAACAAAAGACCTAGTGAGGTGCACCTTCCCAGCCTCTCTCCATCTGCGCCTTCTTCTTCACCCCATAGCTTTGTGTTGGTTCCAGCCCCGTCATCTGCCTGGATTATCTTCAGAAGCCTCCCAACTCCGTCTCATGCCTTATCTAACCCAAACTCCATATATAACCTGAGTAATCTTCATAAAATGAAAATCTGAACACACCTCTCCCTCTTGGCCTCCCTGCCCACAGGATACAATCCAACCCCCTTTACATGGCTTACGGGGCCTTCCGGAATGGCTGGCCCCATTTCTCACCCTTTGTGCTTGTTCCCAGGCCTGTCACACAACTTACTTTGACCCTAGCAAGCCACCAGCAGTCTCCAGATTGTCTGCACTTGCTCATGGCCCTTTGCTTTAGAGCACAATTCCCTCTGCTTGGGCATCTTTCTCTGCCTCCTTTACCTGCTCAGATGTCACATCCTCCGGGAAGCCCCATGCCACTGTGTGGTCTTCTGAAACTCAGCAGGATCACTGGCAGTAACCCCACAGGCTCCGAGCACCATAAAGGGCCATCTTCCCTCTCTGAACCCCACATCTGGTAGATAGCTAGTGCTCAATGAATGTGGCTGAATGAATGAATGACTTGGACATTCTCCCTTGTTGTACCCCTCCTCCCCTGCTGTATAAGGGAAGAGCTTCCCGCCCTCCCCAGCCCTCCACACTCACGGTGGGTGCTGCTGCTGTTCCCCTTCTTGTCTCCAGGTGCCTCTGGGGATCCCCGGGGGGCCCACTGTCCAGCTAACTGCTCCACTGTGGCCCGATGAGTGAACAACATACCGTTTAGCAGCTGAGAGGTGAGAAGCAGGGGTGGGAGGGACTTGCCCTGGCTTATACTCCTCCAGTGCACACTGGTACTGTCACCTGGTGGCTGAAACAATGATACACTCTTACACTGATTGTTGAATGGCCACTTCCATGTGCTGTCAGTCTCAGATGCCCTGTGCCCTCCACTGAGACACTGCCTCCTTCCCTCTGATCCACCACCCACACAGGGATGCCCAGCACAGGAGTCACCCATCTCACAGACAGGCACTTTTCTATATGGACTGTTAAATACCCCTGCCCCTGAGTCACTCAGGGAAGAGGAGCAGGGGAGATGACACTGCAGCCTGATGGGCCTCCAAGGTGGGCAGACTCCTAGGTACAGGGGCAGGGCCTGGTGGACCCGTGGGACAGGCCCCTTTCTACCTACCTCACTCTGCATACCCATGGGCACCAGGGCTGGTCGACACAGGGCAGGGGCCCCCAGAAGAAGGTGGGGAGATGGCGGCACCCGCACTTCCCACAGAGGGTAGTTGACTACAATGAGCTTGCTGAAGTTGAACTTGTACGTGAATCTTTTGCCTTTGGTCTTGTGCAGAATCCTCTTGTTGTAGTAATATCTGGGGGGCCAGGGATGGGAACACATTGTGTTGGCCCAGTGGGTGGGCAATGGAATCTGAGACCAGTCACACCCCCTCCTCAGCAAGGCTAAGCTGAGCAGCTCCGGAGACCCACTGGACAACTTACTATGTGCAAAGACATTTCCAGGCCTCAGAAGGGTGGGACTCAGACAGGGGTGCCAGAAGCCACAGCCCTCTTCTTTGAACTCTACCTTCTCTGGTCATGTTGGCCACCTCCTCTCACCTGAGGGCCCGGCTCAGCTTGTCATAATTCATCTGTGGTTTGCATTTCCTGCGGCCCCAGAGGCGGGCCACCTCATCCGGATCCTTGATGACAAACTCTCCATACTCTCCTTGCTGCCAGGCGATGACATGGCGGAACTCCTCCTTTTGTAGCAGCTCCAGGATGAAGTGCCACAGCTGGATCTGCCGGGAACCTGGGGCCGACTCGGCCTTGTAGGCCCAGTCAGGGAAGGCCAGGCCTAGGATGGAGAGGGGTGTGTGAAGGGCACTTGCTGCTCTAGAGGCCCTGCAAGACCACGGCAGAGGAACGTGAGGGAGACCTGCAGAACGGGCTCACCTGAGATCCAGTAGTTGCCAGGGGTGGCGGGGACGCCCTCGGCCAGGCAGCCACAGCGCATGGTCTGTTCCAGGTGAGGGCTGTCAAGGCCCTGGGGAAGTGGCCGCCACTGAAGAGGAAGGGAAAGGACGAGGCAGAGAAGGCATAGAGGGGAAGGAAGAAGGAGAGGAGGAAAGGGACAAGAAGTTGCCAAGCAAGCAGAGGAAAGGGGTCTGAGGCAGGAAGCTCTGTATACCTAAGGTAGGGCCCAGCCTCCTCTGGGAACCTCCAGGGCTGACTGGGACTTGGGGCTTGGGGTTGAATATCACTTACATAGAGGGCTAAGAATGCAGAGGGTCCTATAGCCTCCCCCCGCAGAGGGACTTAGAGAATGAGATCTCTTCTTAGGGCTTACGGGATTAGAGTTTTCCCCCAGAGAAGACAAAAGAAAACATAATTAATCATGGGCCCTTTCTATTTTTTTTCCCATGGGCTCTTTCTAAACCTGAAGTGAGAAGGAAGTGCACACACACAGCTGTGCCCTTACAGCACTTTGGACAATTTTACAGGTGAGAGAAGCAGTGAGTCCCAAGTGCCCGGCACATAGTGAAAGTAGGTGTTCAGTGAATGACAGCCTGTAGAATAAATGAATGGACTTATCAATGGTGTCATTCTTAACACCTGTCCTCCCTCCCCAGAGTGTCAGCTCCAAGGTCAGGACCCTGGCGGTCTTGCTCCCTGCTGGCTCCCAGGAGTCCATCCTTGCACGGGCCCTATACTCAGAGGTGCTATGCAAATATTTGTTGAATTAATGAACCGTGGGCAAGAAAAAGGGAATCTTGCGGATTCTCAGTTGGGGAGAGCTGCAGAATTGTGGAATGAGCCCTGGTGAGATTTGTATGATGTAGGTAAAGGAAGGGGAGAAAATATCACATTCCCAAAGCCTTCAGATGGAACAGAGGATGGAGCAAAGGCTGATTCTTACTGCCCCTGATGGAAGATGGAATGATACGCAAAAGAACAGAGGAGGGATGGAGAGGCTGCCAGGGGCAGGGCATGGGGAGGATCCTGGGTGCTTGGACTCCATATAGACAGGGCTCCGTGGTCTGACTTGAGTTTCTATTTCTGATGAAGTGGGTATGGGACAGTGTTGCTCTCAGCTAGAACTTACCAGTCAGGAGGGCATGCGAGAGTTTGTCTGGAGTTGCTGCCTCACTTTCCAGAGGAGGCTGAGAGAGGGAAAGTGACTTGTTCAAAGACACACAGTGAGTTAGCCGCCACCTGCTGATGAACAATGCGTGGCGCCTTTTCATATACTGAGCTGCCTGAAGACTTGGAAATATTTTCTGTGGCAGTGCATCTAAACTCTGAACAGCTGAGGGTCTCTCTACAATGCAGGTTCTTATTCAGCAGACCTGGGCGAGCCTCTGCACTTCTGACCAGCTCCTTGGGGAGGTGAGGCTGATGCCCTGGTCTATGGACCACCCTTGGGGTGAAAGAACCCATGTGCTACAGCAAAAAGAGACTGTGGGTGTTAGAAAGTCAAAGAATTCTGGTCACCTCAGGTTGTAAGACCCTCCTGACACCCCACTCTGGCACAGAAAGGTCATCTTGTCCCTGCTGTCTCTTTCCCAGCGAGCTCTCGGGCCAGGAAGGTCAGCCGACAAACTGAAAAGCAGTTGGGGCAGGAGCTTCTGGAGGTTGGGCCTGAGCTGAGATTGTCTCTGGAAATGGAGGTGAGCAGGGTGAGAAGTTCATCCTTGCCCCTTGGAGTCTGCATGAATGCGTCACCCCACTTGTCCCTCTGTCTCTGAACAGTCAGCTGGTGTTCTGGAGCCCTCTTTTCTCCTTTCCTTCCCTACAGCAGATGCCCCCAATTCCTCTGCCAGCTTCCTTTCCTGCCCTGCCCATTGGGGATTCCTCTTTGATCCAACCTCAATCCCATCAGGATCTCTCCTGCCTTACTTTGGAAAAATAGGCTGGAAATGGGGGCAGATGTGAGAGATTCCAAGGAGGCCCCTGAGAAGATTCCCATGCCTGCTGGATCTGACGGGTTTTTTTTGAGGATCTGAACCCTTAGGGTCATTTCAGGATGTGGCAAGAAGGGAGTGATAAGACCCAGCACTCCCCAGACACTCAGTACCCTGCTCCACACTGAGGAAGCCAGAGTATTGAGAACCACAGATCAGAAAGGATCATAACCCAGTCTCAAATGATCAGTGTGGCTTCTCCTAAGCGCTTTGTGTTTCTTGAAGGGTTATAGCAGTAAGCAATTATTAGTGTCATCACTGCCATCATTCTGATTATTCATAATACGATTAATCCCTTTGGCCAATATAAGTGTTCATTACAACACTGTAGGTTTTAGGTCATTATTTAATACAAACAATATAGATAATGATGATAACAATGGGGAAGAAGCCTTAAGCTAGGGCTTGGAGCCAAAGGAAATGTCCACAGCAGGTTTCACCTTAAAAAAATTTTAATTAATATGAATTGGACCCCTATCATCCACCTAGGATTGGGCTTCACATTTAATTTTTCATATGTTGCTTCACTGATTCTTCACAATAGCCCTTCAAGGTGAGTATTATCTCTGTTTTGTAAGCTGAGGAAATTGAGGCTCATAAAGATTAAGAGACTTGCATAAGGCCCTGGCCAAGTGGTGGAGCCAGATGGGAACAGGTCTGTCTGACTCCAGGCTCTGAGCTGTAATCAGTCAATCAGGGCAGGAAAGTTGAGGATGAAACTTTGGAGCAGAGAGGTGATGCTGGCAGGCCGCCCTGGGCCCTGAGGAGTCACTCCTGTCTAAACTCACGATGTGGGCCCTTTGCCAGAAAAATTATCGGCAGAGTCCCCAGGAAGCCAGAGGACAGCAAGCCAAATGGGCAGAGAGCAAAGCAGAAAGGATGAGAGAGACAGGCATACACATAACATAAAAAAAATGGTGGAGAATTCGAGACGGATGCTGCATGTATGCAAAGTAGAAACTTGCATCAAAAGTCACTTCGTTGTTGGTGCCTTCAGAGAGGCAGAAGTATACTGATCGTGTAATTGAGTGACTGGTTTGAACCCAGTCTTCTCAGTGACTGCGTGACTGATGTAGTGGGAAATGGGACTGTTTACAAAAACAAAAGCAGCCAAAAAGGCCGTGGGAGTCAGTGAGAAAGAGGGAATGAGACAGAGAAGCAGCAGTGCAGACATCAGGAGCCCTGGACTCAGGTGAGCTCCAGAATACAGCCCAGGGATTGACCAGTCAGAGCGGAGACTGGGCGGGGTCTGGTGTGTGACAGAGGGAGAGAAGCCCCTTGGAGACATGGTGATGGTAGTCTCCAAGGGATATTTGATGCTTGTCAGCCTCAGACAAAACGTGCATCCCCTGCCCTCAGCTGAATCCTCAATCCAATTAGAAGCCCCTGTCTCTCCTCTTAGCCCCAAGTGGAGGGCGGTCAGTCCTGAGACTGCCCCCCCCAGGCTATTACTTAGAGCGAGGGTAGGTGGGGGAGCAACAGGAGAGGGGGCCTGGGAAGCGTAGCAGGCTGGAGAGGCTGGCAGGGCAGAGAGAGGATGCACTCCCAGGGGAGAGAAGCCCCTCCTTGACCTCTCCTTCCTGCAATTTCCTTCTCCCCTGACTGGGGGACAGCTGGCAGAGACCCCAAGAGTATCTTGTCTCTTGCTGCCTGGGCACAGGGGACCCCTCTCATTGGGAGTCGGCCTCCTGAACCCAGGTCCCTCTTTAGCCTCAGCTCTTCCTTGTATGACACACAGTCCAGCTGGGGCCAGAGGCAGTCCTGCTCCTCCTCGCTCCCCACCCTGAGCCCCCTCTCCTCTTTCTCTGCCCCCATTGCAGTCCCCTCACCCGTCTCGGATCCCTGCCCACGCCATCCCCCCTCCCCCGCCTGGCCTCCACTCTTGTCTCTTCAGTCCCTGGGGACCATGGGAGTTAAAAGGTTTGTTTAACTCCATGGAGCAGAAATCCAAACCCAGGCTCCCCTCCACCACCCCAGACTTGTCTGGATAGATAGCTGAAGGTCAGGGGACTGTCATGGCCTCGGGGATCACAGCTGGGGACAGATGTGGGATGTCCAGCTCTGCACTGTCCCCCTCGGTCAGGCCCTGCAGGTCTCTGTTTCACTCTGTTGACCGTTTCATCTTTCTTCAGCTCATTTGTTCCTTTATTACCGTTCCTCCTCTTCCCTCCCACTGAGTCCTTCCTCCTCCATTCCTCCTCCTCCCTTCTCTGGTCTTACTTTCTGGCTCTTCATTTTGCCCGGCGTTTTTCCACTGTCTCTTTCTCCTCCCCCTGTCCTCTGTTCTGTCCATCACTTTCTCTTGTTCTCTATTTCTCACTTCATTTCTTGTGTCTGAGGATCTTGTTGCTGTCACCAACTCCAACTGTCCTGTGTCCCTGAACACTGTTGGCCTCCTCTAGAGCGTTGTCTGCCTCACCCCTTCTTTCCCAACCTGGTCTCCTGTTTTGCTGTCTCTGGCTGTCACTTTCTGCTTTCTGGCCTCTCCATGTCTTTCTGCTCCTGCCTCCATCCTCACCCATGCCTCAGAGGGGGAAACTGAGCACTGCACTTCCAGCCCCCGCCTCCCCACTTCCCTACTTCCTCCTCAGATCCCCCAGTGGCAGCCTCACTGCTGGTTCCTTTCATCTCATTCCCATCAGCTGTGCTGGGGAGAACCCTGCCTGGACAACCCCTGCCCTCCCCTTTATACCCCACCCAGGGATGAGAAATCCCCTCCAGCAGGCGCTGAGGTGACTGAGGGAGAGGAAGTGAAAGCTCCCAGGAAACAGCTGAGCTGGGTGAGTTGGCAGGGCTAGCCTGGGGCTGAGAAGCTGGGACCACAAATGCGGGGGATGGGGGGGGCAGTGGCGTCAGCAGCAGGCGTCTGAGGTGGTTCTCAGCAGCTGGGGGGGCCTCTGGCACCTTCTGACTCAATCCCCAGCTCTCCATCCCCATGTCCAAACCCAGCCTCAACCTCACCCCCAATTGTAACAGGAACCCTTTGACTTCCACTAAACCCCAAGCCCAATGGAAGGCTCCCTTCCTGTGCCCTGGTCCCTCTGCCCACTGG